GCCCGAACCCGCCGCCGCTACCGCTAACACCGACCACACCAGCAACGCCGCTTGCCCCGGGGCCCGCCGCTCCGGCACCCGCCGTCGCCGTCGCCGCCTCTTCAGTCGGACTCTCCGCCATCGCTGCTTCGCTTCCGGGACTGCTCGGCAGCACGTCCGCCGACCAGAGCGGCCGCTGCTCCCGCCCGCTCCCGCACCACCGAGAGCCCGGCCAGAGTGTCCCCACCCTCTGGCTCCCTAGCCTGGGCGGCGCTGGCTCCTCCCACCCCCGCCCCGACCAGCGAGAGGCGCTCTGCAAGAGCGTCCACCTACGGTCCTCCAGGCGGGGGAGGGGGAACTAGCGGGCCAGTGAGGGTTCTGGGCCCGCGCTAGCACTGCGCCTTGCGGGAGGAGCTGAGAGCCTAGCTCCCTGGAATGTTTCATTTTTGAGTGTGGAAAGGGGAGAAGAAGTTAAAAGGCGAGGGTGGGGAAAGGCATATCCTCCCTTAACTAGAGCGACCCTCCCTCAGACGTGTCCCAGGGGTAGGACTAGGGATCCTGTTATCCTATAGGACTGGAGGAGTTGACTCCCTTAGCGTCCTTCTAGTCCGAGAGGCTCTGTGATTGATCCTCCCTCCCAGCGCGGTCGTCCACCAAGGGCAGGCTACCAGTGCCCCCTGCCTGGGGCAGAACCTGGAGAGCACGGAATCAGAACCTACGAGTGAAAAGCCACCTCGTTTCAGTTTATTCAACATATATTTATGAAGGACCTACTAAAGGCCACACACTGTTACTAGGCATTGTCCTGGGGATAATGAAACAGACCTAGAGGAGCTTGGTAAAAAGGAAGGAAAATCGGGCCTGACTCCTAAACTCAGCACTTTTTCTTCCGAAGAAATCCTTTAATCTACAGGAATCAAGAACTGAATAAATCATTCGAGGATTCCTTAAGAAATAATCCTATGGACTAAGAAAAACAGGCCTTTCAAAAATTAATTAATTAATTAATTAATTAATTAATAATACGTACATACTCATAATGTCTGGAAACCAGAAGTGCCAGATGTTGTTTCAGAAATCTAAAGTGAGATACTTAAGGGGCAGCACCCAGTAAACAAATACACTGATATTTCTGCAGTGAAGTGTAGAAAGGTCATACTTCTTTGGGTACATATTCGAATGTTAAGATTATTAGCCTCACTTTGGAGTTTGCTGCCAATTTTTTTTTAATCTGCTTTTCAGAGTATTGCTAGTTTCCAATAATGGACTGTAGACCAGAATATTAATGGCCAATATTTACTGAGAGGTAAAAGATTATTTTTTACATTATTGAATGCTTAATGTCATGTTCTTATTTATTTATTTTTAGATGTTGATGGACCTTTATTTTATTCATTTTTTCATATGAGATGCTGAGAATCGAACCCAGTGCCTCACACATGCTAGGCAAGTGCTCTGCCACTGAGCCACAACCCCAGCCCAATGTCAGGTTCTTTATCTTATTTCTTTCATCAACCCTATGATGTAAGGACTATTATTAGTCTGTTCTGACAGATGGAAAAACAGAGGCTTACTGAAGTTCAGTCACTTACACAGGTTACTCTGAGAGCAAGTGGCATAATGACTGGGGCTCTAGGCCAAATTTGTCTGACTCCAGAAAACAAATTGAAACTGCTATGTGACATTGTCACTACTTGGAACTCTTCCACATTTACTATATTTTACCTTGTACTACTTATGGTCCTTTGGTATTCTTTGCCTCATATCACTCTCCACCCCTATCATATACACACATCTTTGAGGCTCTAAGCCATGTGTTTGTTATCCATGAACCCAGTACCAGGCTTGAAATAGCTTAGGTACTTAATCTAAGTACCTAATGAAGTAAAATGAACCAATACACTAGTTTATACAGATTTTATGTTTTGTTGGTATAACATTTTTATCACTGTAATAAAGATGCCAGAATATTAGTGAAAAAAATACAAAAGAAAATACCAACAGTGGTTACCTCTGAATGGTATGGTTGCTGACAAATTGGGTCAAAGGAAATATACCTTCTCATACCTTTTGAATGTTGTGCTGTGCATCTATGCCTATTGAAATGATATGGTTTATTCACTTTTTTTTTTTTTTTTTGGTCGTGGTAATGAGGACTGAACCTCAGGGGTCCTCTATCACAGAGCTACATCTACTTCCCCTGCCCTTTTTATTTTTTATTTTGAAACAGTTCTCACTAAATTGCCCAGGTTGGCCTCAAGTTTGTAATCCTTCTTCTTTTTTTTTTTTTTTTAATGGTACTGGGGATTGCAATCAGGGGCACTCAACCTCTGAGCCACTTCCCCAGACCTGTTTTGTATTTTACTTAGATACAGGGTCTCACTGAATTGCTTAGCGACTTTCCATTGCTGAGGCTGGCTTTGAACTCTTGATCTTCCTGCCTCAGCCTCCAGAACCCCTGGGATTACACATTGCACTTTGGCAGCCTTGGAATTCTTCTGCTTCAGCCTGCAAAATCATTGGGATTACAGATATGTGCCACTGCTCAGTTCTGAACTCCTTTAAAAGTGAATAAAACCAGTTGGGTACAGTGGTGCAAACCTGTAATCCCTGTATTTGGGAGGCTGGAACAGGAGGATCATAAATTTTGAGTCCAGTATTAGCATCTTAGCCAGACTGTGTCAAAATAAAAAAAATTAAAAGGGCTGGGGATGTAGCCCCAGCGATGAACGCCCCTGGGTTCAATCACTAGTGCCACAAAAAATCACTCCGTAGCAGGCACAGTGGTGCATGCTTGTAATGCCGGTGATTTGGGAAGTTGAGGCAGGAGGATCTCAAGTTCAAAGCCAGCCTCATCAGTTTAGCAAGGTCCTAAGCAGTTTAGCAAAACCCTGTCTCAAAAGGGCTGGAGGCTGTCTTTGTGGTTAAGTGCCCCAGGGTACAATCCCTGGTACAAAATAGAAAGAAAACAAATAAAAATACACCATAGCTCTTTCATGGCTAGAGACTGCAGATGCCCAAAGATGGCCTGTAGTGTGAGAGGATCCCTCGGTGTGTCTCCTCACTGCTGCACCATTGTTTTCAACTGCAAGGTGTGGTAGTGATGAGGCATAACAAACAGACTCAGAAAAAAGAGGTTCAAGTTTTTAATCTGATCCATACTCTTTCCTTCTTTGCAGCCTGTTGTTGCATCTATACAATGGTGATAATTCCTACCTCTCAAGGTTTTCCTAACAATTAAGTGTGACATTTCCAGAAGTGCTTTGACAAGTGGCAAGCACTACACAAATAACTGACACCTTCACCTGTCCAGCTCCTTTCTCTTTATTGAGCCTTTGTTCCTTTTTTTTTTTTTT